AAAGGAAAAGCATCTTTGGGACATGCCCGATTCAGATCAGTATAATCAACACACATTCTCCATTTTCCATTATTTGACAAGTACAATGTTTGAGAGCCAGGTTGAATACCAAGCCTCAGAAATAAAATTTACCTCTAGGAGGTCTTTTACAACTTTTACAGCAGCCTCCACTTTTTCGGGAGAGTGCCTACGACTATGTTGCACTACTGCCCTAGCGGCTGGATCAACAACGAGTCAGTGACAGACGACCTCAGGGTCGAGTCTGGGCGTCTCTACAGCACTCCATGCAAACAATCAGAATTCTCCCTCAAGCACACTTTGAGTTGCTTCCTCGCCAGGTCGTGGAGTCTGACGTCTATCTTCACGCCTTTGTGGGGATCTTTTCCGAGGAGGATGAACTCAAAGTATCCGTCTGGGATGGGTCGAAGAGGATCCTGTTGGCCATTGGGGGCTTCGACTTCATCTTTGTCAAAGTGGGCGTCAAGCGAAATGAAGTCGACCTTTGGTGGAACCTTTTTTTCTTCGATCTGAGCAGGCTTTGATTCAGGACGAGCTGTGTTTTCTGTTTTGGCGGACCGTTCTCCAGTGTCGACCATGCTTTGCCCTTTGGGAGCCGCGTGGAAACATCTCCTGGAAGCTACGATGTCTCCATTGATAGTGGTGACGCGGGCCCTTCTGGTTTAAAACTTCATCTTAAAATAGACCGTAGAGGGCACATCGGTCAGCTCGGCCAGTGTCGATCTCTCCAAGATGCAGTTGTAGAGAGACGAATAATCGATCACTAGAAACCGCACCTTGACTTGTCGGGATGCAGTTTCTTCGCCGAAGGTGACAAAGAGCTCCACGTAGCCCCACGGCTTGGAGGTCGAGCCGTTGAATCTTTGTAAGTCGGACCCCACGTATGGTGACAACTGGGTATCGTCGAGCTGCAGGGTTTGGAATAGATGGTTGTACATGACGTCAACAAAATTCCCCTCATTGACGAGAATACGATATACGTCAAAGTTGGACATCCTTGCCCTCACCAGTAGAGGAGTGTTTGAGTCCGGGGCTCCATCGGGCAGCTTCTCCAGGTAGAAAGTGATTGGCTCAAATTTTCCTTTGAACCTTTCAAGCGTTACTGCTTGGGTTGGGGCTGCGTCCATCAACTCTTCAAGCTTCCTCTTCGCCGAGTTCACTGAGATGTCGTTGAATCCCCCGCCCGATATGACCATGGTGGAGGCAAATTTCTCCCATTTGCTGTGTGTGGACAAGGGTTCATCCTCGTAGCTGTCGGGGACGTGGAAGTCTTCGGGCCTTGTCATGGAGAAAGCCACCCAGAGGGGATCAGATTCCTTGGACGATCGGGTTTCTTCCTCAATTTCTTTTACCTCGCGGGTGTCTCGACGAGGGGTGTCATTGCGCCTGTACTGCCCGAGTCTCTCACCCTTGATGAGAGTCTCGATGGCATCCTTGAGGTGGACGCTGTTTTCCGTCAAGTACTCGTGGCTCCGATGGTACTGATAGTATTTTGTTCTGTCTACCCCAGGATTTGCAGGAGCGGGTCGAGGACGTCTAATGTCGCCGTCCTTGAACTCGGTATTAGAGCACGCCGCAAGGATACGCTTGCGGGAAGCGGTCAGCAGGGTGTACTCTGTGAACCGCCCTGCTGGTCCTCTATGATTGCAGGGATCACACAATTTCTCCTCCCTTCTCTTCTCCCCAGTCTGTCGAGAAGGGCTTGCGTCCTGGTGCCGCAGGATGTTAGTGGGTCCGCGATTCCTCGACTCATGAGCTTTATTGAATGTTTCTTTCTCCTTGTAGTCCATGTATGCCCGAGCCTTTTTGAGGAGAGTGTCGAAAGACCAGAGGGCTCAATACCGACAACCTTTCTGAATTCAGTTCTCAGAAGGAGTCCCATCTCGAGCAAGTATATTTTCATGTGATCGGCGCACATGACCTGAATGGCCTCGCGGTTGAACCAATCAATGTATTCCCTGAGGGTCTCGTCGCTCCTTTGGACTATTGCCTTAAGGGCTGCTTCAGTCTTCGGATGTCGACGAGACGCGGTGAAGCGGCTGATGAACTAGTTCTTGAGGCTCCTCCAGGAGGTGATCGACCCAGGAGAGAGATTCTTATACCAGTCCATGGCTGTTTTTGTGAGTGTCACAGGGAACAATCGGAATTTAATTGCCCCCTGATGTTGTGGTAGTGGAGCTTTTCTTCAAACCCGTTGATATGGTCGACAAGATCATCAATGTCGTCGTAATCCTTTAGTTGGGGAGGTTTTTCCATTCCCCTAGGAATAGGAGCCTCCATGATTTCTTAGAACAATGGACCGCGGGGGTCGTCTTCGTCACTTCTGTCTGGAGAGCGGGATGGGGTCCGATTATGGCGTCAGTTGTTGTGACGTCCTTGGCCATGCGGAGGATCCCTTGGCCAAGATAGTCTTTCTCTATTTCCCATGTTTTTGTTGTTTCCAGAGGATCGTCACTCCCTGCGCTGAAGGGTGTGACCGTGCCTCCCCGTAGTTTCGGGCTGGTTCCTCTCCAACACAGTGTCTCGACCAGTTCATCTCGGAGAAAGGCTGCGTGAGACTCCCGTATGCGTCTCCACGGGGTATATTGGGGAAAGTCTTCGATCTATCAAGGAGGAGGAGTGTCAGGTCTTCTTTGTCTTCTGGGGGCCCGATGACTTTGCTCAAGCATTCTCATCCGCTCACTCTTTGAGAAGATCATGTAGTTGGTTTGGTTGATCGTCGCGAATAGAGCTCTAGTCGTGGCGTTAGCACCTGCATGAACGAGGACCTCCTAGTATGCATTTGGTTCGTAGTTTCAGGGAGGATGATAATTGTCCTCGCGCGGTTGCGAGCGGGTTGATGAAGAGGTGGTCATCTCGTCTCTGTAGTTTTGCTCGGGACCGATCATGTTAATGTCGTTGTCGACATTGTTGTTGTCGACATTATTGTCGCCGATGTTGTTGTTGTTGGGATCGGCGAGACGTGCGTTTTGGTTATGTCGACAGCTTGGTCGGCCATGACAATCATACAGTTTGATAAAGAGCTGCTTTTGTCTTGAGAGGAAGACGGGGAAGCTGGATTTCCACAGGCGGCGCCACTGGTCATACCTGATCAGAAGGGATTGTCAAAATTCACAAGCTTCAAGTTGAGCAGCAGTTGAATGTGAAGTGGGGAGGGATGGGGGGTACCTGCAAGACACTCTGATGCCAAAGTGAGGTTCAGAGCTAATGCAAGTGAGTATGAGAATACGAATGAGTGAATGAATATCCGGCTCTCTCAAGTGAAGGGGTATTTATAGCCCCCAGCGTTGTACCAAGATCCCCATTGTTGGGCTGAGCAAGCAGGCCCAAGAATGGAAACTGCCAAGTCCTACGTGCATAGTGGGGGTCAACATGTGGTCCCTAACCTGGATGGATTCCTCCGAACTATCAGGAGGATATGGATGCGGTCTTTTCGAGGTCAAGAGGACTTCGTGACATTCAAGGGTGTCGAGTGTCAGCCTTATGAAGAGGATGCTCAGAGGATTTGTCTTGGTCGACGAGAAGTGCGGACGGTGCCCGTGAGGAACTTCCAAGCATTATTAGTTTTGTTCGCCATTCATGAGTTATCCCCGTTGGTCAAAACCAAATCGACCAAAAGAGTGGAGTTCCTGCTCGACATGGTCGAGGGCAGACTCTTCCCACTGACATTCTTATGTAACGTAGTTGGATTGAGCCTTATATGATATTTGAGCCAAATACAGATACAGTCCAAAACACTTTCAAAATAAAGAATATTGGTGAGTCATCGTTCAACCTAGTGATTAATATGACTCATATTTTATTGAGTTTATAATTTTAAATCTACGATTTTTTACATAATGAGTTTATGATTTTAAATCTGAGCAAGCGAATTAAACCCATTAAAAAATACTAAGTTTTTTTAAAAAAATTTATAATATATTTGAAGGCTTATTATGTGATGATCAAATAGCGTTTTAATTTTATCCAAGTTTTAAAAATATAAATTATAAACTTAATCTAAATATAACAAAAAATATATGTTTTCTTTTTTGCATTGTTTGATGGATAGCACTGTAGTAAAATAAGATAGTTGTATTATATTATATTTTAATCTAGTGTTGATGACACAGTATAATATAATTGATTAATCCTATGATTCATCACATCTCATCTTTTTAGTTATACGTTAATCTTAAATTTGAGCTAAATTAAAAATCAATAAAAAAAAGAAAATAAATGATTTATGCCTAAATATTATATTTTAAAATATAAAACAACTAAACAAGAATTTGATATTAAATTAAATAATTAATTTATTAAAATTGAAATAATGAAAAATAAAATTATTATTTTAAATTCTAAATCTTATAGAGACAATTTATTGACCAAATTTTATTTCTACTAAGAATCGAACTCGAAAAAAAAGTGTTTTTCACTCTCGTTATTTTCTATACAATGAAATGTTTATTTAATATTTTGTGTAAAATAGATAAATGACTCACTATTGTATTATATTATATTTATTCTTTTATATAAGAAATAATTCATTTTTTAAATTTATTGAATAACTAATATATATGATCGATTTATGTATTAAATATATTGATTATTCACTTAATTTAAAAAGTAAATGATCTCTTATATAAAGGTATGAAGGTAGTACTATTCATTTTATTATTTTAAATTCTAGAAAAAAATTTATAGAAAAGTAAAAGATTCCGTTTATATTTTAATAATTAATATACATCAAAGATTCGGTAATTTGATGTATATTAATTATTAAAATATAAAAATGGCAAGTTAATATATTTACATTAATAAGCAAATCACCTTTTAAAAGAAATAATCAATTCTCATAATAACCAACATCTCTCCACTTATTATATATAAACACCATAGGTTTCTACATTTTCAATTCAATTCCAATTCTCAAAATTGTTCATTCATCTCTTATTTCTCTTATTCCATATACAAATATGTATCCTCAAAGAAGAAGAAGCATGGTAAATAATTCTTAATACAAAAAACTCATTTTATTCATCTATTTCCCTATTCAAATTTTAATACTATTACTAATATTTTTTATATATTCATGATTAATTTTGCAGCCAAGTTACTATTATCCAAGTTATTCACACCCTAGCAACATGTATGGTTACTATGATCAATATCATACTATATATGATCAAGGTAACAACATTGTGGAAAGAAATCCATATCCATTTGATGATCCATATTTTGATAGAAGAATGGTGGAATCTGGTTATAGAAGAAGATCAACGAGACCATATCCTTATTATGATTCAAGATATGTTTTTCATGGAAGAGTTGATCCTTACACTAGTTATCAATCTTACTATGAGACTCCATTGTTGTCTTACCCTCAACCATCGCCATCACCATCAGTACACCCATTTTATACACCAGATTGGTTGTGTACTATTATGTGATGATCTAGCTACTTGGATTGGTAGAGTTTTAGTTAATAAGATCTGTCCCAATTTTTTTAGGGTTAAGAGATGATTTAGTTTGCTATAATGAACCTAATATTTTTTAGGGTTCATAAATGTTTTAAATTGGTTTGTTTATTATCATAATGAACCTAATTTTTTAGGGTTCAGAAATGTTATAGTTTGGTTTGTTGGTGTTTATTTTTACAAATGATATTAGTGATATTTTATGTTTCTTTATTCCAATCCGATTTATTTATATATAGTATAATGTTGATTTGTGTTTTTAAAAATAATTTTGATTTTTTAAACTCTTATTAAGACACAAGGTAACCTTAGTCTTATAAAAATAACTAAATTAATTAGTTTTTATTTAAGGGAAGATAACAAAATATATTTGGAAAAATAAATATATATAGAAAGATTATATATGAAAAATAATTGAGAAGATTTTGTTCGAGAGTGATGAAAAAAGACATCAATTTAACAATTAACCTGAAATTTTGAGATTTGTGTGTTTCTTTCAAATTATGAAATTATATTCATTGAAATCATATTCTTTGGATTATTACTATTAGGAATAATATTTTTACTTATATATTTGGATAAATATTAAATCTCTTTGGAATGTTTATCAATTTATTTAATTTTAAAATTATAAAAAATAATAATAGCAATAATGAGAAGTTCTATATAATTGAATTTATTTCTATGAGAATGTTGAATTTCCACACTTTAGCTATGAAAAAAATTATGTGTAAACAACATTTCTGAAAATAAAATAATAAAATTTAAAAATTTAAAATAAATATATGATTATTGCATTTCTACCGTCATATTTTCGAAAATCTAAGAAATATTTTGTTTATAAAAGAACTGGATGAAGTTTATAACGGATTTACAATTTTATCATAGTAATTTTACATTAGTCTCATAATATTCAATGATAAAAAATTTATTAATTATGTTTAACAATAAAAACTTCATAAATAATCTATGTTTAGTATTTTTTAGTAATTTTTTTTTTTTGAAAAAAAGTAATATGAAGAATAATGCGTTGTTCCAACTTTTTTTTTGGTGTAATTGAATGGGAAGAAAATTAAATTAAAAAAATTATGAAATTAAGCAACATTTACTTTCTTTTAATATTAATTCTCAACTCTTAAGAAATTTTTTGTAATTATTAATATAGATAGTATCTTAATAAAAAATATCTAAATTAAGAACTAAATAATGTATTGTATATTCACCAATTTAAAAAATATATATTTTGTAATTATTAATATAGATAGTATCTTAATTGTTTTCTTAAATTATGGTAAGAGATTTTTTCTAATAAAAATAATGGTAAGAGATTTTATGCCTTTCAAAATATGTTAATTCTTATTTACCGTTATAATAGTTGAACTTAAAGATAGATAAGCTGGCCAACAAGCTGTCTGAATGGAGTAGGATCCAATAAAGGATCACCGGAAATGACTTTATGAAATTGATTTCATTAATATCGTTACCCTCTAAAACTAAGTCATCTACATAAATGAGCAAGGCAGTAAAAGAATTTTTGACGTGTTTGATGAAAAGGGATGGATTACAAGAAGATTGAATATATTGTTTACTAATTAAAACAGTGGTGATTTTAGAAAACCACTCTTTGCTAGATTGCTTCAAGCCATAAATGGATCTAGTTAATTTGTAAACTTGGTTTGGTTTGGAAGAAGAAAGGCCAGGAGGTAAATTCATATGTATCTCTTCTTCCAAATCACCATGTAGAAAGACGTTATGTACGTCAAGTTGGTGTAAATTCCAGTTTTGAGAAGAAGCAATGGCTAAAAGTAATCTAATTGTGGGTAACTTAGCAACTGGAGAATAAGTGTCAAAGAAATCAATACCTTCGATTTAGTTATATCCTTTAGCAATTAAACGAGCTTTATACCGATCAATGGTGCTATTAGCGTTATATTTGATCTTGTAGACCCATTTAAAGCTAATGGACTTCTTACCTGGGGGTAAATAAGTGATGATTGATGTCTTATTGAAATTTAAAGCATGGAGTTCAATAGCCATAACAGACTGCTAATGATTACATTGGGTAGCCTGTTTGTATGTGTGCGATTCTTGGTTAACTGTGATGGCAGAAATATAAGAAAGATGTGCGGTAGATAAGTTGTCATAAGAAAGAAAATTGCATAAAGGATAAGTAGAATTAGTGGTGATATTATAACATTTAAAATCTTGGAGATAGGCGGGGGTTTTGGAAACCCTGGTGGATTTTCTTAAGTTTTGTTCAACCACAAATGTTGGTTCTTCCGCAAAGGATGGTTCATTTAAAATATCATGTGTGGGTGAATTATCAACGGTGTTGTCATGAATAGGTGGGGAGGGGGGAAGTGTGATATTATGAGTGAGAAAAGAATCATCAAAACATGCAGTATCAATAGGGTCATTGTCATAATTTGGTACGTCATTAGTAGTACATCCATTATAAGGGAAAATATTTTCATAAAATATGACATTTCTAGAAATGAAAATACTATGTGTGTGCAAATAAAAAAGAATGTAACCTTTGGTTCTGGTTTTTTATCTTAAAAAAAGAGATTTTCGTGCTTTAGAGTCCAGTTTATCACGCTTTGTATTAAGGTAGAAGAAAAAGAGAGGCAACCAAAAACTTTTAGGTCAAGGAATGTAGGAGGTTGTTGGAAAATGAGGTCATAAGGTGTTTGATGGTTGAGAACCGGGGCGGGAAGGCGACTAATGATGAAAATAACATGGAGTAAGGCGCATGACAAAAAACATATAAGAAGGTGTGATTGAAAAAGTAAGGCTCTAGTGGCATTTAAAAGATGGCGATGTTTTCTCTCAATAATAGAGTTTTGTTGAGGTGTTTCTACATAAGACATTTAGTGTAAAATGCCTAAGGAGGAGAATAGAGATTGCATTTTAAATTCTAATTCATTATCACTCCTTATGGTTTTTACTTTGGCCGAGTATTGTGTAGAAATGAAATATAGAAATTTTTTAATACACGCTCTAGCTTCAGCCTTGTTTTTCATTAAAAAAATCCAAGTAAAATGAGAGAAGTCGTCGAGTATAGTGAGAAAATATTAAAAACAATCTATGGAAGGGATGCTAATCGGACCCCAGATGTCCATATGTAAAAGGTCAAAGCATTTAATAGAAATGGTGTCACTATGGGGAAAGGGAAGTTTAGTTTGTTTGGCAAAGTGGAAGTGAGAAGGGTCTTTGACGGTGGCTTCATGGTGTTTTATGCTGATGTCGTCGTTGGAATCCAAGGACGACATGGTGGAAGAAAAAAAGAGGAAGAAGATATGTGGCAGAAGAAAGGGATAAAGTGAAGGTGTGAAAGACACAAGAAAATGGGGTTTTGAATTGAGTTTTTAACTTGAAACTTTTCTTTTAAAATCCCTTTGGCTTAGAAACAAATAACTTCACTTAGTGATAATAGTGATAAAACGCAAGATGCAAAGAACAACAATGTGTATACTAGTTCACTTGAAAACTATCAAGCTAGTCTAGTCCATCCGTCAAGGTGATTTCGCCTCTCTCCAACAAGGTCTTAATCCAATAATCAAACAGATTATTACACCTACACACACCAACTGTATATGAATAACAATACAATCTCTTAGATACACAAGTCTTAGATTTCTCAAGAAATATGACCAAGCTGATCTCTTAAGGAACAATCAAACAATTGTTTAAGAAATAATTTGTTTACAATAAAATGCTTCTACACAAGTTGAATAGTAAACTGATTTTAAGAACAAAGATTAGATAAATATGAAAGCTATGAACATTATGCTTAATGCATATATGAACAATGAATTAGCAGCTTTCTCCTATAGTCTTCAAGCCTTTATATAGCCAATAAAATAATATATCCGTTGAAGGGTACTCTTGGAATTTCCATAAACTTTGGTGGCTTGAATCACTTGGAGGACAAGATCATGCGACACATCCATCCTTCATGGTAGTGGAATGAAACGTTTTTTATTGTATCATGTACTATTGTACCTGTTGTACCCCAAAATTTGCCCTCTCATGTTTCCCAAAGTCTTCCCCCTGCATGGTTGATCACAAACTCTTGCCTGAAAAAAAAAGGAAAATTTTTGAGTGGTGCTTTAAGGACATTTTGATTTGCATTCTGAAAGACCCTTCGATTGGTGTTCTGAAGGAGTCTTTCGATTGGCATTATGTCAAGCTCTTTCGATTGGCATTATGGACAAGCGCTTCGATTTGCATTCTGAAAGATCCTTCGATTGGTGTTCTGAAGGAGCCTTTCGATTGGCATTCTGGACAAGCGCTTCGATTTGCATTCTGAAAGACTCTTCGATTGGTGTTCTGAAGGAGCCTTTCGATTGGCATTCTGGACAAGCCTTTCGATTGGCATTATGGACAGGTATTTCGATTGGCACTATAACAGTGTCCTTCGATTGGAATTCCAAAAAGGTCCATTCGAAGAAGCGTTCAAAGGATCCATTCGAAGAAGCTTTGGAAAGCATTCGAAGGAGGCCATCATCCCATTCGAAAGGGAGCATTCGAAGGCCAGTTACATGTCATTCAAAATTCAAAAAGGGACTAGATCCCATGTGTTTAGCCAACGTTACAAACTCTCATTCATGGCTTTCAAACACATAATTAATGTTACAAATTCTCATTCATGGCTGTCAAACACATAATCAAGGTCATTTAAACCTTTGTCTTCATGTCCCCTCCACCCCTCTATATAAAGAAATCACAAATGTTGCAAACGAAGAAAAAATATACAGAAAAATAGAGAATTTGGAGATACGCTGCCAAAAGTCATCAGCACTTCCAGGAAGCCATACCCAATCCTTGCACAAGCCAAAGCTGCCACCCAACGAACACCTCCACCCTCAGAACTACAGATCGAAACACCTCTGTTTGGTAAAAGAAAAATCTAATCTCAAACACATTTTTAAATTCATTTTGATTGCATATTCATATTATTATTGCTATTT